CTCCGCAATAATTATCCCTGTGGGAACTGAAAGTCTCGCAGGACTGGGCCTCTAAAAACGTCAAGAAAACGTGTCCTTTACGGAACCAAAAGTCAGACTGCTATTACAGGTTCGTATCATTCATTCTAAAACTCCGGCAACAAAAACTGCCTTTCTCCCTCCCTCTTTCACACTCTTAAGTGAAAAATAGTTGCACATGTTTACGTAGGCCCATCGTCACGCACCAACTCTCTGCATTCGGACAGCTGCCGTATTAGTCGACGACATCATTTCGTCAACGTGGTTGCTCAGCCCTACGCTGGTGGTCAGAGGTGTCCAAGCACATGTCTCCATGTCTCACCGGAACTAGCAAAATTTCAACCATGTTTCTGCTGAATGTATACAACTTGCCCTAGTCTGTAAATTGAGTGGGGATTATCTTTTTTGTGTTGCCGAGTTTGAGCATACAAAATGCACCTTCCGAAAGCTTTCATTTTTGGAAACAACTTGAATTTCCCAAGTACGAGCACATGTGCGGCCTCTTGAGTTGCCAGAGTGTCTTCGGTTGTGCGAAATCGGGTGGGCAATATCAAAAATGCTCATTATCTAGTTTCTCAATACATTCTAATTTAAACCTTCAATGAATGTGTATATGCACACACTGTTTTACCACGGACATGAAGGACGTATATGCTTTGCACGCGTTTGACGTAGTTCCTGTACTCAAATTGCTGTTTATAAACCACCTAGCCGGAGCATAATAAATCCGCAGTCTGTCAGGCTCCTCCAACTTCTGATTTTAGCCTGAAGGTTACTTACCTTTGAAGTCCACGAGCGTACATGAAGTGTGTACCCTACTACTATAGGATACGCAGTGAACAGGGCTTACGGCTTTCGGCCAAGACGAACTGACACAACTAAAGCGTCCAAGTCCTCTACGCATAGGTCATATGATCTGATTGAAGCACACACTGGTAAAACTTACCACTTGAAGGAGTGCCAGAAACGCATTGGGCACATTGTCAAAGTTTATCTTGGAATTATCCCAGCTCACGTTTCGGTAGAGTTGTTGGTGCAGTTGGCAAATTTGCCGGTTGGGATAGAGAGAGGCCGGCAGACGTTCGCCTGTTGCCTCACTTACACACTTGCGAAATTTTCCACCTCAATTGTAGAAGAAAACCGTTAGAATATAATCGGAAACCAGTTCAAAAATCAAGATATAAAGTTGGGTCTAGCAGTAAGCAAATAATAAAAAGTTGGTTCTGAAAACAGATTTGGGCGGCGGGCGTTATCAGTCGATTATAGTATGTATTCTTGACCTAACCACAGCTCAGGGTTAAATGAATTCACTGAATTACTTCTTTTCTGATAAAATATTCTCAAAGGTCTACTGGCAGTTATTACAATGATTTATCCCGTTTCTACCTGAGACAGAATCTAATTTCAGGATGAACTATCGACACCAAATATTGATTTATTGGAGTGAGCTCTCTGGGTTTATTTCGCGCTGCCTCTGATCGTCATCAAAGGCCAACCAGAATGACAGTGCCTTACTAAAACGTGATGAACTAGCGAGTGGTGGGCGTCTGATGTGATTTGTTCAAGGTCTGTCTCAGTGGCCAGTGGCTTTGCTCTATATGTGTATTTGAAATGAAATTCAAAATACAATTCTTCCCTAGCCAGGGTTTCACAGCAACAGATTTCCTGAAGCCCCTTTGTGGTAGTTGACATCACTGAGATGCTGGACTGTTAGTCAAAAAATCCACCCCGGACGCACCTTGTTGTGTATCAATTAAAACTACTTTGCCTTGGCCGTGAAAACCAGTTTGCAGTTTTTATAAGAAGCAGACTCCAAACAATCGGGACTCACACACTGTGTGCCCTGTATCGGACTCGGACTGCTGTGTTCGCGAACTCGCGCCCAGTGCTCTGGCTAACCCGTATTGGCAAGGGTGGGCAAGTGGACTTGAAGTGAATTCAATACAGATACTTGAGCCCAACTTGGTAACAGTTCAATTTAGGTTCCTAAATAGCTTATTGAAATAACCCATTCTTTGCGCGCGTAAATTAAAATGACCTAACAGTGCCCAATTGAACACAATCATCGACTCTATCTAAACTCTACAGTGATGTTATACGGATGATAGAGTCAACGATTGTGTCCGATTGGGCATTATTGGGCCATTTTAACTATCGTGGGAAAACATTTGCTTATCTGAATATTTATTACTATTATATTCTAATCTTATATGCTCTACTTTCTATCTCCTCATATGCCCCACCCATTTCATCTTTATTACCATCTGTCCTGTATTACAGAAGGATGCGGTTTTCGTGAGCTGTTTGGTGACCTAAATTGAACTGTTTATATAAGATTGCCTACGCACTCGGTTCTCACCTATTGCTGAGCCCTTGTGACAGGCTTCAGTGCATTCGTTAAACGGGAGGAAGGTTACTGTTCTCTTGCCTTAACAACGGCTTCCATCCTCTTATGTTACGTTCCAAAATGAAACTAAGTAGTGCCAATATTTTATTTTGGGTGATAAGTAAGTTGACGCCTAATGCACCGCGGTTTGCGAAGTTCTCGTAAGCTTCCAAGACCTGGTGACACTGGCTGCAACAGCAAACACCGGGTAATTGCAGTGACAACAAGGATTCCGGCAAAAAGATTGTTGGGCCCGCCGATAATCACTCTCTAGCCAATCCCGTAAAATATATATATATATTTGCAACTCGGGAAGCAACTAAGCCACGTGGGTCAGTTTATGCTAGCTCTGGATATTTGCCAGACTCGAATCAACGCCATAGCACACTATGCATCATAACAAGGAATGATGTCCCATCTCCGACCCATAAGAAGCCAAGTTCTCCCTGCACCGCTAAATTTTTTATCATTAATAGTTAGAAATAGATCATAGTATCTCTTGAGATATTTCTCGTCAGCACTGAACCTCTAACGCTTTTATCGTAATCTAAATATTCTGTGTAATATTTCATGTAAGCGTAAACCCTCTTGGTTCGCCTACCCCAGGAATCCAAATCTCTGAAGACGGAATATTAACCACAACTTAGGAGACCGAAGGTGTCATACCTAGTTTTATTGCTTTAATCAGCCCGCTACAGCATAAACCGAGGTTAGGATAGATAATGATTTCCTTCCTGCCCTGCCTTCCCCCTCCCCTAGACTGGCTCAACCAAATCATGCCCTCATAACTAGCCTTTCCCCTTATTCACAGGACTCACCCGTGCGAAAAGACGGACACTCCCATATAAATGTACTAGCCCTACGAGAATTTGTCGCAGGCCTACGTACGGTCGCCAACCACTCTTCTGATAAATTATGGCC